TATTTTGTTCACCTCCTCATCTCTCACCGCAGCGTTATGATCCACAGACTCCCGAAAGGCAAATTTTCTTCAGTTGCGCAACACCACCGCCTCCTTGTCTTTCTCCTCCTAAAGAAAAGTTTTCTACCCCTGTCAACCATCTGCATAGTGGACCTGAGTACTTAGACACACTAGACACCGATTCCGAGGCGTCATTGGATGCTATTACTGCCAAAAGGACTCCGCCTAAACATTCAAGGTCGAAGAAAAAGCTTATGCCCATTCCTCCTAACGTGAGGGCTCGACTTCTTAAACAATCAGGTACGTGAACGAATTTTAGTAGCAATACTGCAGACTTTAAACGAATTTTTTTTCTGAGGAGTTGGTGTTTTTTGGCGTTGCTGAAACCAGCCCCTTCATTCATTCTGGGATTTACTCACATTGTATGCCTAAGAAAGCTGACCACTCATAGCGCTTACATATTCCTTAAGCTGTTTAAAGTCATTGGTACAAATTCAGTTTAACTATGATAAGTAATAGTTTGTAAACAGCTTCTACATGCAAACTATATCTGCTAGGTGTTACCTGCATGTTCTACGTGTTCGCAATGTCGATTGTACGAAAAATATGCCCAAATAAGGTCCTTTTTATGTGCGGCCTTTCTTATTATATGACTTTATTTGTTAAAACCCTGAGTTGTGGACGAACTCAGCAATTATTTAAAAAGTAATTGATAATCAATTAGACACCTTACAACTGTCACCTTTTTATGGAATAAGACGCCGTTGAACGAAGCTTAACCGATCCCATTTCGTGTGAAAGTATGTTGAAGCACATTGATTATTTTTCGACACCTGCACATACGAGTACTGTGAAATTGAGAAGGAAAGTTCCCAGCTTGCATACTCGAAGTTTCATTATGCTATTTCCTAGAAATTTGCCCATGCAAGCATCTGTATAGAAGTGATACCGTCGCACGTCTATCGAAGTCGTGCATGTTAGGCGACGGTTTGCGCATGGGTTGTGGGTGTTAATATATAGTGTAGCCTTTGACATAATGATCACAGCGACAACTTAGATCAGAGTAATGCCGCAACCATTCCATGCTGCCGTCTAACAAAATCATTTCTGTACTGGTTACCACTGGTCATGGGTATTTCAATTTATTGTCTTGGTGGTATGGCTATAAAAGTCAGTTTTGTAATGTATGTTCCGACATGCAGACACAGATGATTTTAAAGTAATTTGGTTTGTTCTGAATGACATCCCCATTCGTAAAGGGCATCGATAAGCCTCGACGGAAAAATGCGATAAGTGTACACGCCTACCAGTTTATTACGATCCTTGGGCACGCTGATGACGATCTGAATCTAGTGATTTTTTTT